CTACGAATTAGGGGTACTACAGGCCGGCGATCCCCCGTTTGCATAATTCGAGGCGCAACAATTGACACAAGCGCGTCGGACTTGTTTATGAATGGTGAACTTCAAGTGGAGCTGACGACATGACACATTGGTTCAAGTTGCTATTAGCTATTGGCATTGCTCGGAAATAGAGATAAGCATTGCTGATTGGAAGGATAATTAACCCTAGAGGTATCTCCACATCATGATTTCCAGTCTTGTTTTGGGAATGGAATTCTTCAACAAGGTTGATGCCATGATCGAGATGAGGACCCGGTCTCTTGTCATCGCCGATGGCCCGATGGGAAATGCCAATGTGTAGTGCCAACGATCGGTGGGTTGACGGCAACCAAGACCATCGTCACGATGCAACTCGTGGAGGGGAGGCTGTGAAACGAGAAGCCCGTGGCCAAGCCGAGGATAAGGCCACGGCATTTGGAGGGGCCAAAGGTGGAGCCGGTGCCATCAAAGCCAACTTATGATTGGGTGCCGATCCATGTTCTATTTCTGGAAGTGGGGGACTTGTCGAGCAACATGGAGATAAACAAGCCAAGGAAGGAATTGCTTTTGGAGCGAGTTGCGGTGCGAGGCGTGCAACTGTGAAGTCAAGAAGGGAGAGACTGAAACAGCATGGGAGATGGAAGAACCGCCAATCTCCTACAGAGCCGATGATCCGAAGGATCTGTTCAGGCGAGAGGAAGACTTTTCAGCACTAAGGGCGTCGCTTAATTGGGCGGGGAAGAATGTCGCGGGACGGAAGTTTCAAGGTACAAATGAGCCTAGGAGGTGGCCAAGATGATCCGAGGTGTCTTGAAGTTTCTAGGAGTTGAGGGTTTTCTTGTATATCTAGAATTTCTTAGGGGCATTACAGAAATTATAGGTAGTATTCGTGTATTAAGTAGGGGTATTTAGTAAACTCAAAAATATTTGGATCTCCACTATCAAATCGTAAGGAGATCTATGATTGTAATTTGAGGAGCTGATGTATATATAGTAGTTCGTTCTCCCTAGTTTGTATCATCTAATGCAAGAGTAATACAAGACATTCTCTCCCAAATACTTCTCTTTCTACGATCTGGGTGGGGCAAATGAGCAAGTAAGCGAGTGACGAGAGAAGGTTGAGCTTAAGAGATGCAAGAAAAGGGTAATGAGTTATTTGGAGCCTACGTACCACACGGTCACGATCTCAAGTGTTGGCCCGTAACATGAGTAGCGAGGACTCAGACCAGCTCACCTCGGGCTCGATTTAACAAGACATTTGGTAAACTTTCTACTCCAAATTTGTCTTGAATTTTTAGCTTGTCAAATAATCATTCTACCCATTGATTAATACTGCCTTAGATGTTTCGTTTATTTACGTTTCTGACTTCCATTGACAATTAAGAGTAAAGATTTTTGGTTGATTTTCATTTGGAGATGTGTACGGCTTATTAATCCCACTTGAGGTTATTCAATTTTGGAAAAGTAGATGCTCTATGCCTCTGTCTTTGGATTATGCATTATTCAATTTGGCCAAGCACTGTCACGGGCTTAGCTGGAGGCGGTTGTCATGTTTTGGATACAATTTTTTTGGGATGTAACTGGTTATTCAATTTTTCTCTTTTTTGGTAACAAATTAAAATCTCATTGTACAACACAAAATTGCAACTTTTGAACAAGAAAGGTAGCCTTGGTTCAAAATTTTTGTAAGCACAAAATATTTTTCATTAGTATGAAGCTTCGAAACCTATTGAACCAGGATAAAAACCGGCAATTTCGGCTTTGGAACGAGGAAACGAACTATCGTTTCTAGGTTCTTGGATTCGGCTTTGAATCAAATTGACTAAGCTGGTTTTGTCCGGTGCTTAGGTTAAATCAGAATTGATGCTCACCTTTTATCCTCGACTTACCGAACCTCGTAATCTTTTTTTTTTAAGTGTTTTTTTTTACAATTAAGGGGACCAACGTAAAGGCCCGACCGACTACTTGAATGCTCATGAACCCTCCTACAAGTCTCAAGAACTACTTAAGCCCGACTATTTGGCTTATATAGGTGGCCTAGACTTAAAGTAATTTGCACGTAATTGCTGGAATTTTAAACAGTTGATCTCAATTCCAAGACCAAAAATCCCTCACCAACTCAACAGACCTTGTGGAGTTTGTTTAGAGTCACAGTTTCTACACATGATTTTAATTACTTTTGGCAAGATATATATTCATTTATGCCCAACTTTGTTACCTTCTTCCTTCCCTAAACCAACTACTATTCTTTCTGAAACTAGAGACAACAACTTTCCAAGTTCAATTCCTCATCCTAAACCAAGCCTAATGTAAGTGGCACCAGCTAACATTTTTAGGAAAATATTTTTCAAATCACTCATTTTTCGCGAAATAAATGGAGCCTAAGGATGTAGTGCCTCAAGGTCCTCCGAATCTTCCCTAATTCCAGTTTCGTCGCAATAAAAAAAAAATTTGAGTTTCGAATTTTGAAAATTATGGAGCCGCCACCTTGATCGATTGTACCATAGAATCAAAAATAGTTCTAGGGACAATGAACTGTCATGGTGCATCGTACAAGATGACTGGACTATGTGCAAAAAATCAAAACCTATGGTGCTACAATTTTGCTATGCACGGAGAAGGGGTCCCCATGGCGCCCTTTCGTTATAGCGATTTTTTGATTAAGTCCTTCGAAAGAGAATTCATCATTTGATTTCCTAAAACATGAATGCGATCTTATTTAAATCAAGAAGTAATCAAACTAAAGGTTTGCATCACTTTACACGTCGTAATATATGAGGTTTGGAAAGTCTAAAAAGTTTTCTATGAAAATATTTAAGATATTTGAAATTAATTTTATTGAAAATATGAGGGTGCGTGGTGCCTCGGGTCTAATTTGGTAGCAATTCGACTACGAGCCCGTCCGGCTCGAGTTCGATTAGTCTTTCGACGATTCCCTCAAAATAAATTCTTGGGTAGGCTATTATTTCATAAGGGTTTTTATTGCGACAATTCAAATTAGCATAACGAATTCTTTAGAACGTGCGGATTTCTATCTTTAATCTTGTGGAGAAACGGCTATTTTTTCATGGTTTTCTATCTCCAATTCGGCAGAACAAGGGCATTATAATGACCTAATTTTGTATAAGAATTTGTGGCCACTCACTCCAAGCCTAATTGGGGGAACCTTGCTTAGAGCTAGATGTGAGTATAGAGAACCACTCACTAAGGACCGGTTTAGAAAAATTGGAGCCGAGAACCGCCTATTGGTTTCATCCAACCGAGAACTAGACCACCCATCCGATCCGATTCTCATGGGTGGGTCCATGGAACTAATCCCCAATCCCTACAAAATTGTATTATTCAATTATTATCACGGTGAACGTAGTTTCTACGTGAGTACTTCTTTACAATGGAAAATGGAAGAATAATAAAGAAATTTGTATGAGGGTTTTGCTTATCAAACACGAAATGATACTATGATTTTAGAATAAATGCTCCCATTTGGACATTTGGCTTCATCTCTTGTTATCATTAGACACGAAATGATACTGTAATTTTAGGATGAATGCTCTCACTTTTTTTAAATATGTATATATATACTGATCCAGTTCGGATGGGCAAGTGGGCAGTTTCGCGCCTCGAACCTCAAACCAGGCCAAAACGAGGCCCCGAGGGTTACTAATTGACATGGCCAATCAGGTCCTTAGTTCGTTTTGAGCTAGGTCTCTCTCTTAAAAATCCCGGTCGAGTTCCAAAACTTGCCTGAAAAAGGCCCGGTTTATGGTCTTCTCATTCGTCTTTTTTGGTAGTTTTCAAAGAAAAGTTGTACTCGAACTTTGACTCACGATTCCTTCTTATCAAACCCAATTGACCTGATTCTAGCTGCTAAAAATCTCGTAGGTTTAATTTTACGAAGTTGACTTCGAATTAAAAAAAAAATTAATATCACAAAAAATTTCAAATTGATAGATATGTGATAAGTTTACCCCAAATTAATTTTTTAACCACCAAAAACTCTAAACTAGTACACCTTTGACAAATTTATCCCAAACCGGTACACTTGTAATAAATTTACATTCCATTAAATTATATTAATACCACGAAAAATCACAAATTGGTAAACCTGTGACAAAGATATGAGTAAAACCCCAAACTGTTACGCCCATCAACTGCTACGTGTCATCTAACTTAACATTTCGACGATAAAATTTAATTGAAATTAAAGAAGAGTAAATTTATCACAGGTGTACCGGTTTAGGATTTTTGGTGGTATTAACCCTAAAAAATAACCGCAAACTTTGTTGAAGTCTCACGATCGGACGATCCATATCAAAAAACGCGATATTCTATGATCCAATGTCAGATTGGGGCAAATTGGGCATCATCAAAAGGATGTAGACGAATGCCACCCATCTGAATCTCGTGCTCGCTCTCTTGATAAGGTTCGTCCTCGAGTCAGAGCCAATCAAATGTTGATCGAAATTCGAAAACCAGAGATTAAAAATCAGGTGTCCACAACGGGCCCGTAACTCCATTTGCGCATATAGTTATGCCCCCCCAATTGAACTCGAAAGTGTGGCAACTTGGTTTCTTCAAACGAGACTCGTGATTTCTCGGAGTAATTTCATTTCAATTCTGGAATCACTTCACCATAATGACACACTTGGAGCCTCCAATATTTTTTCCTCCTAAAATCGAACCGAACAATTTCCACCGATGCATGCGGCCAATGCTTTTGGGCCGCAGAAGCCCAAGTTCAGACGGCCCGACCCGATAACCCAGGGCGGCCCGACCCGCTCTCGGGAATAAAGCGAGCAGGAGCCGGCCCCACCGGGGAGGGGCAACATCCGTAATAAAACCGAAAAGCAGGCCCTCTTGCGTAAGCGGAACCTCTTTTTAACGGAGCATAAAGCCGCTTTCATTCCAGCGTCTCTCCTCCTCCTTCCTCCTCCCTTCTTCTTCCTCTTAACTCTCTGCGTTCAGCGAAGCGGAGCGAGGCGAAGCGAATTCCCCCTTCGAAAGCCTCCGCGCAAACCCTCGCTCCATCTCTCTCTCCCCGCGCGTAGATGCTCCTCCCGCCCGCTCATGGCGAACAACCCGAATGAAGCCCCCGCCGACGAGTTCCTCGAGCACCTCCTCGGCCTCCCCAGCTTCGCCGCCGCGGCGGAGGCCGGCCTGGCCCCGGGCGACGGCGGCGGCGGCGGCGGCGGCATATCCGCGGCCGCCGCCCCGATGATGCTCCAGCTCGGCTCCGGCGACGGCTCCGGCCACGGCCACGGCCACGGCCACATGTCCGCCCTCGGCGGCGGCGGCGCGGGGGCGGGGGCGGGGGCGGGGGTGGCGGCGGGGCGGCGGGCGGCGGCGGCGGGGGGTACCACGGGGCGGTGTTCCCGCTGGGGCTGAGCCTGGAGCAGGGGAAGGGAGGGTTCCTGAAGCCGGAGGAGGCGTCCGGGAGCGGCAAGCGGTTCCACGAGGAGGTCGTCGATGGCAGAGCTTCGGCTGTCAAGAACGTAAGTCGGTTATCGAATTAGACTCTCCGGTCGAATTGTCTCCTCCTCGTTGAGCTCTGTTCGGCAGAGTAGAGGTGGAAGAGGTGCAAAAGAGTGATATTTCTCGCTGCTCTCTTTGTTTTTCTTCGCCTGTTTGTTTTTTTGTGTGCAAATTAGTATGCGAAATCGTAGCTATGTGGAAAGGAATTGGTTACGAAGCCTCTGCTGGTTGAGTAGTGTTCTTATTTGGCCAAGCTGGTGATTTAGCTGTTGTAAAATACGTTGCTTTATGGACGAAGGTCATCTCGGCACTTTTTTTTAGTGGATGCATGCTTGTTTCTTGATCATTTCTTCGCAGAAATCAGATTTTATCTACTTCTTTGAATATGGGGAGTTCAAGAGAGTTCATATAAACGTAGACGAGTCTGATCATCTCTAGTCCGGCTAAATAGCCGTGCATATTCGTTGCCGCGTAATTTCGTAGTAATCGTGTCCCATTTTTCTGATGGGGTTTGAAGCTGGAGAACTAATTATTCTTTCGTGTCTGCGTTCTACTTTGTCCAAACAGCTGCACTCCTTGTTCCCCAACTACCTAGATGTTTTGCCAATGGCTTCTTTTAAGGATCGAGATTTGTGTCAATAAAGTTTTATTGCTGTTAATCATTAGCTGACTAATCGCCATGTTTGATCTCCTGCTTAATTCAATTCAGCGGCAAATTTTGCATTTAAAGCTTTGTGGTTCTCATGGCTTCCTGTTATGTACCGAGTTTCTGTGGGGAGGATGGTTATAAAAGTTACACTTACGCAGAGCTTTTATAACTCAACACCTAGGTGTAGATAGAGCTTTCAACTCTTTCTTCTCTCCACAAGCTCTTAATTAATGATTTCGCAGTTCGAGTGTGCTTTTTTCTTCCTACATGCATGACGACTGCTCATCAGACTGTGAGGCAGAGAGCAGCTGCTAGTAGACAGAGATCTGGGCGGATGGGTGGACATGGTAAATTCTTACCGGTTGGAGTAGAAAAGTTAGCCAAACCGTTAACTCTTCTTAAAAACTTAATAGTATGAAGTGTCCTGGATCTTTTGATTGTTTGTATTGAAGTCCAATCTGATTGAGAAGGAATTGTCTAGCAAAAGAGACAGGGCTCCTCCAATTACAAGTAGAAGCTGCGAGAAATAAGGTAAGAACATTGTGAAATGATAGACCTTGGCAGGCTAAGACTAAGATCATACTGATTGAGCAGAATGCAGAGCGTGACAAATCTGGTGTCTTAAAAGATGTTTCTTTCTGTGGTGTTTTTCGGTGATTTTCTCCTTAGCTCATATATATGTGAGTAAAAATGTCGAGTCATTAGGAGGAGTGAAATTTCAAGATGGAAAAATGACTGTATACCTTGATAAGTGTTACAAGTAAAGTGAGTTGGTTGAAAGCATTTAATAGTTGAAGGCTTTCAGAGAGAATCATCTCCATTTAACAGATCGTGTTGCATTCTGCATTTTCTTATCATGTGGTAAATTGTAGAGGAATGGACTATGTTGGAAATGGTTTGCATTATGCAATTTGTTTTGGTTGGAGCATTGTGCAATGTAAGCATGTGTTTTATCTAATTCTGCTGTCTATGTTGTGTTTCTAAACTCAATATATGATCTGAAGGAAATGTTTCCTCACTGTTAAACCTTCTAAGCAAATATTGTCAGTGATTTGACAGTCCTCCACTGTAGTATAGATCTATTGGCTTGCTTCCCCAAGATTTCTTGTCTTTTCTTTCTTTGGTTTTTTATTTTTTCTTTTGGGTTCTGATCTCTCTCTCTCTCTCTCTCTCTCTCTCTCTCTCTCTCTCTCGGGTGCACTGTCAAGGGCATGAAGTGCCAGTACAAGGTACTTCTTTCTCATGCAGCATGTTGTCGCAATTTCCTGACAAGTTCCTTCTTTGTCAGGTATTTCATGGACAACCAGTGCCCAACACTGTTCCTGCAGCGCCACATCCACCAGCGATGCGCCCAAGAGTAAGGGCTAGACGAGGACAAGCTACAGATCCCCACAGCATTGCAGAACGAGTAAGTACTATATGTGCTCGCAATATGAGATTGAGCCGTCTGAGTGCGAAGTGACTGAAAAATGCATTATGACCTAATTAAACTCTAATATAGCTTGAGCTTAACTTTTGGCAAAGACTTTTTTCTCATACATATAGAGAGCCGGGGAGGTTACATGCAAGATATATATTTGGCCTGCTCATAAGGAGCGGCTACTTATCACTATGTCTTCCAGCAAAATCGAATCATTTATTCCATTAAGTGATTACCTTTTCTGGGTCTCTTCAAAAGGATTTAGCTGCTGGGTATTTTTATTCAGAATAGTTCCGTCCTATGGGGTATTTTTACAAAGAGAACCCTTCTCTCTCAAGTTGAGTTCATCTAACCACAGTTTGTCATGATACTTGTCGAATATGGATATAAGGTCCATAAGGACTTGTGCACTTTTGCTTTTATAGAGCTAATGGGATTCTAATTCTCAATCTGTGAGGTTGACAGGAACGACAGGACAGTTCCATAAATGTTTGCCTTTAAGTTATTGAACATTGCATTTATAAGCAATCTTGGAAAGAGATGTGTCTATGCATTCTGCTTAAAATTTTGCACACCCACTTTATTGTGTTGGTTCTTCTGCAGTTGCGGAGAGAGAGAATAGCAGAAAGGATTAGACAATTGCAAGATCTGGTTCCAAGTGTTAACAAGGTTGGTATCTGTGTTCTTAGATCAGTAAGGATCTAAATTTTGTGATCCATGCTCGTTCTTCAGTACTCTTTTCCACCTCTCGGTCTGTTTATTGCTTTTGTTTGGTCTCTGTTCTTGGAGAAAAGATAGGGTGTTGTCCTGTTATGAAGACAGACAGAAACATAATAAAGGGAGTCCTTAAATTGAGGTTATGATGCCAAATCATTGTAAGGCTTACTTAAGAAATAAAAAAATCTATTGTTGGCTTGAAAAAGGGTTAAAGAGATAAGAGTTAGTGGATTTTGTTCTTTGAGTTGTAAATATCAAGTGGATCAAACCCAATAGTAATTCTCATTTATTCTATATTTATGAATAGCTCAAAAATGTTTTTTGCTTTTAATTGAGTGTAATAGCTAAAGAGATTGGGACATTATGGAAGGGGTTATCATTTATGAGGCATTATCTTATCTTCTTGTTTCGCCAAGCTTCAGCTAGTGTCATATACTTCTTGAATTTGGGTAATTCAAAATTAGCTATATATCTTGCTTTATCTTTTGGCCACTCTTTGCATTATCCAAGACAGGAAAGTTCTTTATGCTGTTCAGCAATAAATAATCTCACTAATTTCACTACACATTTGTCACTGATTATTGCAGCTTTTTCAGCATGGAGCTCATACATAAACAGTAATTATTAATCAATTGCTCTGACCATGCAGACAGATAGAGCTGCCATGCTTGATGAAATTGTGGACTATGTGAAGTTCCTGAGGCTCCAAGTTAAGGTAAACTAGGCATGATCTTTATTCAATAGTTCCTGTTCCTCATGATGAGATTCAAGGGTATTTTCTCTTTTTGGCCATTGAGCTTCGCATGTTGAAACTTTAAACACATGGTATTTGATTAATAGTGATGTCTCTCTGAGAATCACTTTCAATTTTTGGCTAATCAAGCGCTTAAATTGTGTTTTCTCATGTGACAATGCTTTTTGTGCTCGGTGGTTGACTTTTACTTTGTTAAAGATTGATGCGATTCTTTTAGATTAACCACCTTTAACCAACTGTAGTCCCTCTTGAACTACTGACTTAACAGCTTCTAAGTTAACTTACTTCAAATGTATAATTTGGAGGAATCCCCTGTCTTTTGAGTTTTGAGTGATAGTTCAGGCATCGTATAAGAAGTTCTTGGGAATGAACTTTATCTTTGCTTCATGCTGGTATGAGGAATTGGAATCAATTAAGCATGTTCCTTTTTTAAAGCGAATTCTTTTTTTGAGTTGCACAAGCTATTTCCAAACGGGTATTTCAAAGATATGGTGCTTGACACTTCTCTTTATATGGACTTGCATTAATAACTTTTGCGGTGTCATGTAAGCAAGCCACTTGATGGATTATTTATGAGTTGTCAATGGCGGAAGGACAATGCAAAATTAGTCAAGAGTCTGAGTATTTGTTATTAAATTACCTGTTCAGGTTTTGAGCATGAGTAGATTGGGCGGAGCTAGTGCAGTGGCACCACTTGTGACCGACATCCCACTATCATCAGTCGAGGTGACAAATTAGAAAATAACAACAATCGTCATGATCGTCTCTTTATCTCATGATGAGCTTTCGAGGCATTCTACTCATTTTCGTTTGTAATTCAGGAAGAAGGCGGTGAAGGCGGAAGAAACCAACCGGCCTGGGAAAAATGGTCAAACGACGGCACGGAGCGGCAGGTCGCTAAGCTCATGGAGGAGAACGTCGGCACCGCGATGCAGTTCCTTCAATCCAAGGCCCTCTGCATCATGCCAATCTCTCTAGCCACCGCGATCTACCAGACGCAACCCCCCGACACCTCCTCCCTCGTCAAGTCCGAAAGCAATCCACCATCCTAGACCGCCAACAACACGGGCGCCTCCCCTTTTTCCTGGTCCCACCAAAGACTCGAAAACTAAAATGCTCCTTGGTCCCCCCCGCTCTAGTTTGTCCCATTCCGACACCTTCAAAAATCTAATTGATGGCCCTCCTCGAATTGCAATCAAAGTCAGATGCCACAGCCCTTGCTTTTCCGCCCTCTCTTTTAAGCTTTTCGCCGGGACGGGGTTCGATGTCAATGCCTAATAAAATACTAGCAGGCCCTTAAGGAGAGAGATTCAAACCCTCACTTGATATGCTCTCTCTCATTCTCTCTCTACCCCCAATTGGTGATGTTTAGTGGAGAATGATGTGAGCGACTTTATAGTGGGTGGGGGCTCTTGTTTTTCTTGGTAGTGGGTCGTGGGACCTTGTAAAAGGGATTGGTTGTGTAAAGTACCATTTGTATAATGTAATGCGTAGTGTGTTTTGGAGAGGGGAATGGATTGCTTGGGTATAAAAAGAAGAAGAAGAAGAAGAGAAAGATGGATAGAAAGAGGTTGGTCCTTTCCCCAAGTGTTCGTAGTCCAAATGGATTTCGATAGTGTTACTGCCATGCTTTTCGGTAGCTTGATGAGGGGGCGCGTGGGTGGGATCGTTTCAAAAAACAGTAAAATTGACTTGCCTTTTCCTAAGGGAACGCTTTCTGCTGGGTCATTATTATTGGGAGGTGAAATCTTTGACGAAAGAGGACAAAAATGGGGTGGTTGGGAGTTGTGGAGAGTTTTCTATTAACGGACGGTTCTGATTTGTTTCGTGGTGGAGCATTTAGCTCGGTCAGTCCCCTCACTCTCTCAATTATTATCGAGGGAGACTGGTTTGTTCCCCGCTGTGATTCTTCAATCCCGCTGTGATTGAAGCATGCGTTTTGTGATAAGAGAAATCATAAGGACCGCATCACGTGTTTGACTTGAATTGGAAGATCTGTTAACTCTCGTGTTGTTTCCCCAGCATTTGCGATGATGACAAGCTAAAACAATTGCTTAATACACCACCAAGATAATTGGCCTAGTGGTAAAGGGATCACCTGTCTTCCACGATATCAGGAGCTCGATTCATATTCGTGAGCAAATCTCTAGATGGCTAATGCTATGCTGCCTAACTACGGTATACCTCGTGTGGAAAGATTTCTTGACTGCTGGTATTTTGGTGGGACTACGATAATGGGCTCTCCAACCTCAAATCATGCAATCCTACTGAGTATATATGGTTGAAATTAAACATTCCGTAGCAGGTGTAAGACCTTTAGGCTGTGATTGATCGTCTGAATTCGGATTGGAACAAGACAAGATAAGGTAGGATTAAAAATTCTCTAAATATCCTCTGGATTATATAAAATCTTATCGTATGTTTGGTGCAATCCAAAATAGGATTAAAAATATTTGAAAATCTTTGAATATCTTTGAAAATCTCATTTGCCTAATGCAATCTCCTTATATGCATATCTTACCTCTTGAGCTTCCTCACCAGATCGTTAAACCCACTCTCTTCAGCTCCCTCCTAATTGTCTCCTCCGCTGCCGCCGCTGTCTTCGCCTCCTGGCTGTACTCATCGCTCAACTTCAGTGTGTCGAAGGTGATTTAAACGCCAACAAATCAAGTCACCGAGGGCATCACAGAGCGATCAAAGGAGGTCCCGGGCGCTACTGATTTGGTAGACGATGTAGCGGTGGAGGTGAAGGGTGGTGATGGGGTGGTGGACGCTGCACATGAAGCTCGAACACCATTTGATGTCGGAGCCGATCTAGTGTAGTGAGGGGCACCAAAAATCTCGAAAATTCTTGATTAGTGATATGTAATTTACCAACGCTGAATATCTTAGATTTGATTCTAATGGACGGGATTGCAGACTAGTACGAGGTCGTTTTGACAAGTTGGGGTCTACAGATAATGCAATCACAGTGTGGTTATTCCTTGTTGAAAACAAAAGGTCACCATTGTTGCACCAATGGCAAGATACTAATGGCAGCGGCAATTTGTTGTTGTAATCTGTGGCGCCCAATCTATTTTCATCACCATAACTAATAGAGACCATATTATTTTTGTCACTTTTTATGGCCAGACACGCGTTGTGGACAACGATTAGCGATGACTTCTCCTTTTTCACCTTAGTCATCGGAACAAAGATCGGCTGGCCAACATTGACGATCAGCGTACAATCGGTTGTCATGGAGGTGGTCCTTGTGCGGTTGCTTGCGAAACCGAATGCGTTACTTCATTCTTGGAAGATAAGAGTTAAGTTTTTTTTTTTTTAATCCAATCTGGGTTTATCCCACCTAGCCCGGTTTTTTTATCCGGCATTTTATTCGGGTATATCCAGATTTGTCCGGCCCAGAGAACATTGCCAAATACCGGATGTGATATTTTGTTATCCTATCCAGACTTAAATCTGAACTACCAAACGCAATCTTATGGTAACGCTCAAAGGGGCTCTAGTCGTCTCTCTTTACACTTTTACTTAAGAAAAAGAATTGCATGAATTCGTTGATGACCATAGCAAGGGAGAAAGACACTATAAGTATCATAATTTTTTTTTCGATCACTTGAGTAACATAACTTATATACAACGCTCATTTGAGTGCATAATTTTTTTTTTAATCACTTGAGTGCCATAAATTTTTAAAAAACATTTATCACGAGTATCATGCCACGTCAGATTTCTAGCAGTTGGGTGAATGTTTTTAAGAAATTATGAAACTCAAGTGATCAATTGAAAGTTATGGTATTCAAATGGTCGGAAAAAAAAATGTTATGCACTCAAGTAAGCTACATACAAAAGTTATGACAAATGTGGTATTCTTATCCTGTCGTAGCAATAACCAAATAATATATTTTATGGTTTTTTTTTGTCATTCTTGCTAATCAAGGTTTGTGTTGGGGTATGATTCGTACTCTCCTTCAACAGGAAAGCATGGGAGTCTCACTCCACAGTGAACGAGTGGGGGTCCGGGGGAGCCACCCTTGTAGGGCAGCGCTCCCGTGCTGCCAGAGGGCTTTTATAGTTTAGGCCCGTATTTTATTGGTAGCTTGGGCTTGAGCCCACGAATAACTACTGAATATACATAGTTTATATCTCTTGTAATTGATGGATGAAACAAAGTGGTATGATGTGCTAATTATAGTGGAATACTTTACTAGACATAATCCTAATTGAAGGGTGAACCAAGATAAAAATCCCATGTCTTGATTTCCTTTTCTCACTTTTACTCTCTATTTTCTTGTAATTGTGTGTCAAATCCTAACAGTTTGCTCAGAGTGGTATCTATTATTAATTTTTTTTATATTTGGTTTTTGCATTTAAGGAGTTTTATTTAATATTAAACTTCTAGAATCATTAACATCTGGCCTGTGGGCATTTAAGGCAATCTCGAGTAATGGAGAAGGTTTTCATAATTTTCAAAATAAAAGTGGCTTTTTTTCATTTTGGCAAAGAAAAATTAAAATGATCATTTTTTTGCTTTCAAAAAGCCAATCCACGGAGGCCTCTAATTTGTTAATAAAGTAACAACTATCATTCTACTTGTATCGCCAATGACAAACCAATCATATAAACTGGACATATGATGCATTGTCTTAATAATGCATGTATTACCAATAAGGTCCCTCTACAATCCAATAAATCACCGTCAGCTCCATCCTGCTTCATTGGTGAACAAGTTTTTGCTTCTATTTAGCATAAGCGCTTGGGTCATCCGACTTCCCGCATTACTTCTTCAGTTATTTAAAAGCATGACCTGCCAATATCTGCTTCTCCCTTATCTAGTTTTTGTGAATCATGTCACTTGGGCAAGTCACATCGTCTTCCTTTTACTAGATCATGAACCACCAGTAATGCTCATTTGGAAATACTTTATTCAGATCTATGGGAACCATCTCCTGTTATGTTAGTGAATGGTTTTCATTATTACATCCTTTTTATGGATGCTTAGAGTGGATTCACGTGACTTTTTCCACTTGCTATGAAATCTGATGCTCTCTCTACTTTTGTGGATAATTCATATGTGATAACATAACTTAATGAATAAACATTATGTTTATTTTAAGTCAAAAAGTGATTGTTGTTCTTAGTATAAATGAATGTCCACACCAGATTTGAGAAAAACACCACAAATGAATAAAAGTTTCACAAATTCGTCCATATGAATAAAATTTACATGACATGACCAATTCCCAATCCTAACCACACCATCCTTATAACTCATTGATAGCATGCCTTTAGTTAAAGGATCAGCTAACATCAATTCAATGCTAACGTGTTCTATGACCACTTTATTCTCTTTAACACGTTCCCTTATGACTAAATACTTAATGTCGATATGATTGCTTCAACTACTACTTTTGTTGTTTTTAGCCATGGAAACCGCAGGTGAATTGTCACAAAACATCCTTAATAGCCTAGCAATGAAATTCATAACTCTAAGGCCTTATATGAAACTCTTCAATCACACACCATGCGTGATGGCCTCAAACAAGAAATGAACTCAGCCTCTATAGTGCAAGTAGCAATCAAAGTTTGCTTCGCACTCCTCCAAGATACGACTCCACCAGCAAACATAAAAACATATCAAGATGTTGATTTTCGAGAATCAACGCAACCAGCGAAGCCCGAATCCGAAGAACCAACTACCTCCAGATTCTCAGTCCGTCTATACATAAGCATGTAACATTTTGTACCTAAAAGGTATCTCATCACCTTCTTTGCAGCTCTCACGTGGTCCATAGCTGGATTACTCTGATATCTTCCCAACATTCTCACAGCAAAAATAATGTTAGGTAGAGTGTAAACCTGAGCATACATCAAGCTTCAAGAAGCATATGGGATTTTTTTTTCATTTATTCTCTTTCTAGTTCCTTCTTCGGGCACTGGTTCAAATTGAACCTGTCACCCTTCACAATAGGTGTTACACTTGGTGAACAATCTTTTATCCGAAATCTTTCTAAAAATTTATTGATATAAGTTTCTTGAGACAGTCCTAGAATGCCTCGAGGTCTATCTTTATTGATCTTAATGCTAATGACATGAGATGCCTCACCCATATTTTTCATGTCAAAACTCTTATAGAGAAATTGTTTCGCTTCATGTAGCAACCCCTTATCATTGGTTGCAAGTAAAATGACATCCACATATGGGACAAGATAACAAATTTTGCTCCCACTAATCTTCTGGTATATACATTGATCCATGACATTCTCTAACATCATGGAACCTTAATTACCATTGGCGGGATGCTTGTTTGAAGCCATCTATAGATTTCTTAAGCTTGCACACTAAATACTCACCATTACTAGAGGAGAACCATTCCGGTTCTCCATTGAGAAATGTCGTTTTCACATCCATTTGATGTTATTCCATGTCAAAATGGACAACCAATGCCAAAATAATATAAAGATAATCTTTCTTAGATATAGGAGAAAAGGTCTCTGTGTAATCGATT